TTGTTTTTATTAACGCGAGAAGCAATGAAATAATTGTGGTCAAAACACCATTAGATAGTAAAAAAAAAAAGAAAGAAAATATAAATTGATTGTCAGGGATATAAATGGTTGCTAAGTTTAGGATCATATGCTGGTCATATATTTAGTATGGATTGTAAAAGAATACGTTTGAAGTGAAATGCGTTTTTCCCAAATGTAGACCAATTCTGGAGCTTTTTTTGAATCTCATTTACCAACAGAGTTTAAAACTCATATGATTAAAGGGCAAGTAATGAGCTCCAACCTATCTGGGTTTTTGCATTTCCCCCTTCAGCCCTTTTGATTTCATCGTGATCATTTATTACACTTATCAAACACCTTTCTGTTATCACAGAGCTGATTTTCAGCTCATTGTCTAGAAAGATTGATAAGCCGAAACACTGCAAGGTAACGATGGCTTTGTTCCGTTTCCCCATCATAAAGACAATGTAAGTTATCTGTTAATGGCCTTTTAACAGTGGTCTATATGTTTGTTCGACGCCCACGAAATTATCTTAATTTTTTATGTTTTTGTTTCAGATCGTAGCTTGCACGCAAACCGAAATGGGCGGAATTAGTGACATCATTGACTAGACATCATGAGTAAGGCGCAGAGTTCAGCACCAAAGCAGCACTGAAAAACATTCATTACCGTAACATGCTTGACTATATAGTGCGTCTGAAAGATATGATAAAGGACTGTAATTATTCGCTTGACAGCGTTGGAAAGCGACGAAAAAACTATATTGATCTGGTAATTTGGAATTGTTTGCAACGGAAACTGTTGCGGGGTAAAGTAAAAGAGAAGAACCGATTGTACGTTAAAATAGCGGTTTTATCTGAGTGGTTAGAAATTAGAATAACAAAAGACTAAGACGAGATAACATACAGACTCTGAGCAGAAATGATCTTGAACTTTTACAAGTAACATTCTATTTTACATCAAAAGGTAGTGCGTGGGTAGCTCATATAACCTTGTGCGGAAAGATGGTGGGGAATGGAATGGTGATTTTTAAATTGCACTGCTCTAAAATGGGACAAATCTGGTTTTGCACTTTACTAGGACATCCGTTTTCTTTTACAAGTTGGGTCTTCTAAGGCAATGCTGCTAGCATCAAACCCGAAGCACTTTTCATGCTAGCTTTAGTACCAATTTTACGGAGCTATCAAAACAGGTTTTGATATCATGATGAGAAAGTGCATGAGCACTTACATAACCATGAGCTTAGAGGGCCTTAAAAAAAATTCCCGAGAGTCCACTTGGCATTCTGCAGTCATCATCGGTAGCCAAATTTTTCGTTAGTTTTCACAAAAACCACAAACTCACGATATAAACAAATATTATAACTACTTTGAGAGCTACAACTCGTATTATCTTTCATAAACGTCATGCGACATTTTCCCCTGCACTAGACAATGATGCGCCTCTCTACGATTCTGTGACATGAAAATGAAGAACTTACCTTTTTAACTCAAAAGCTCCTGCACCTTTGAATCGCAAGTTTATAATGCCTTATCCAAAAAATCCGCCCTTCTTTAAATAACCCCGCCTCCCGCCTACTCTGTATGACGGCTGGGAAATTACTCCGGGCACAAAGTTCGCCGTCAAATGAGCCTTGCTAAATGAGGGACACTTATAGACCACAATGTCAATTTTATTATATTAATTCATGATACTTTTTGCCTTGACAAAACAGCTGAATCAAGAATTTATAAGAAACAATTGCGAGGACAGCATAACAAATCAGTCTAAAAAAGATTTTGATCTCCTATCCCATGTTTCATCTGGTGGATCATCCATTTGCTAAAAGTTTGTTGTATTAATTTTGAAACCAAACCATTTTTTAGTATTCTGGACTAACTGCAAAAAAAAAAAAAAATATAACAAAACAAACACAAAACAAACATCGTCTATTTTTGGAATTTCGCTCGTTTGCCGGGGGCACGTCTTGAGTAAAATACATACACAATTGTGTGGTTTTTCGGTAGTTTAGTCTACAAACCGAGGAAATTATCAAAAGCCCTTATAAGACTTTGCATATTTGCATCTTAGAAAGGAAAATTAATCTACAGCTGAAAAACTGAATTTACAGACGATATCAACATAATATGTGCGGATGCCTTGGAAAATTCGTAATTGACCAAACCGTGATGGTAAACTATTAAATAATTTGTACAAATTCAACTTACAAGGTTCTTGAAGGGCGCAGTTACCAAGTTTTGCCTTTAAATTACCCGTGTGAACGCCATATTAGGCGGCATCATTGTTATTTGTTTCGTTTAAGAGGGCTTTTAAAACACTTGCAAGAGTTTGCGAAGTTATTGGCGATATTGAGAACGCGGTGAGGGAAATCAAAATATAATTGAAGTGGATTCGCTGCCGCTAAGCGGTTTGTTAGACGAACTAATATAACTCGTTTCTCGACCCCTCTCTATGCTTCATTACCGATGCAATCTAGTTTACAAAACAAAATATAACTTTTAGACCAAACTATACGGCTTGGTTATGCACGCGCTATTTCTAAAACAAGCACAAATTTCAAGAAAGGAACTATTTTTAAGAAGTCAATAATAAACAGCCAAAAGATAACGTGAATCTGTGATTCGTTATTTAAATCATAATGGCTAAAGTTTCTTCTCGTTTCTCTACTGTGACGTAACTGCATATATCATCGGCCTATTTGACGCAGTTTTCGCATCGGCCTATTTTACACAGCTTGCGTTTCTCTCAGGTTATCTTCGAGCGTTTTGACGCCCCTTTCTGATCCCACTTTCCAGCTGAGCTAAAAAGCGTTTTTTCCCCCTAGAATTCTGTAAACTTTATGATTATCGATGTCAAGAGTCTGGCGTACACGACGTACGCGTACAGTCTGGCGTACAAGTTGGCGTTACACGAAAAAGTCACGCGATTGGATCAATGTTATTTTAGGGTTCAACTTCCCTTAGGAAAACGTGACGAACATTAAAAAACCAGCTGCGTCAATGGATGCTTATGCTAAATTTTCAGTGTCCCGGGATACCCGCCTTCAATAATCCAGTGATGGGATGTGAAGGTCGACTGGATGAGCATGCAGTTGAATACAACGTGACGTTACAAGGAAAGAGAAACAACTGAAGTTGATTTCACATTCGGTGGATTTGATAACAGTCATCAAATGAAGGCATTTTTAAATTGATGCCGTTAATCAGCTGGTTAAAAGAAGGGGCAGAAGGTGAGAGGGACATGAAGATCATGCAAGAGTTAGGGGGTTAAGACGATTGTTGCTCAAATAATTTTTCGGCGAAAAAGAAACGGGTTGGATTTACGCTTTGTTTCCGGAAAAATTAACTATTTAACTATTTTGCAAGGAACATTGACAGGGATTGCAAAAATAAGGAAGTGAAAATAGAGTTAATAAATCAAAGCGATTTGGAATTTGATGCTAAATATTGAAAACTCAAAAAAACTTCCATTTATCTTGATAATGATTAGCAAAGTTCTTTTGGGCAGGTAAAATGAGAAATGGATCCTAAAGTTGGAAAGGAAGTTCAAAGAGTCTAGAAATATCACGAATTAAAAATTAAAAAGCAATAAAAAGATCGTCAATTTTAAAGCATACTCTTTTGTCCTTGCCTTTCAAAAAATTATTGATACTTTCTTAATCAAAACGCCAATAACGGCTTTGTGCAACGCTCTTTTTATTGAAAATCGATCGAAGAGAGAGTGTGCTATTAACAGTTGCAAGTTTCTAGAATTCATTAAAATCTACGCGACATAAATCTATGTAAAGTGGCCGATTTACAGACAAGTTAAATTGCTTCTGGACAAATTATGTCTGTCTGACTTCCAATGGTGTTAAATATAATTTGTGCATGTTCTTAATTTAACAAAACGCTTACACCTTCAGATCGTTAATTGTATAAAAGCGATCCCTCTTAGAAACGGAAGGTATAATGTTGTTCAACTCGATTTGAGCCATTTTAATATGAATGTTACTATACGAGAATGCGTGGGAACAAATATATTATGTCGCAAAGATTGGACAGAGAAAAAAAATGACTTACTTTGTGATTATGCTCGCTGCTTGAGCCATTTTGAGTTTTAGATTTGAAGTTGTCACGGCTGCCGTGAAAGATAGCCATGTGGCTACTAATCAACCTGCAAATAAAAAGAAAAAACTTCAGACAGTTAAGTGGTTCATAGTTTAAATGACACCGAGACAAGAAAGGGAAAAAGCCGTTTCATCAAAATCTATTCAGCTATAATTGTCTTAGAAGTTAAATGAAGGCTAGAAATATATGAAAACCTAAACTCGACGATAAAACATGAATACATCTAGAAAACTGCTCCAAAACCCAGAAGATATAATAATTTCAATTAAATTTCAACCTAAATGGATAAAACTTTACCAGAAATCCGTAAAATTTGTCTAAGACCTTCCTTTTTAATTAATCTCTGTGGTAAACATTAATCCTGTCATGTCCCACTCTCTTCTCCTAAATACAGCTCGTGGAGCAAAATGCAGACTTATTTTTGTTTAAAAAAAAAAGTGTCAAACTGAAATAGCATAGTATTCATCCTGGAACTGAGCAAGCGAGTTTAGCCGAATTCTAAAGAATTGATGTACAGTTTCAACAAAGACGGTAATATCAACTTACCTTCAATTCTTCAAAAATTAAGAAAAATCACTCTCAAACTTGATGTTCGCACGCAGTATTCAAATAAAATGCCTGGTCTTAAATACAAGATTCAGATTACTAGAACGGGACGACAAGCCTGTATAAACAATATTTTCTAGCAAAGGGTTTGCTTATTCGTACATCATCGTTTTAGTGGACAATGTATTAATATACGGCGAGGAAACATTACATTTCAATCACTTCTAGAAGTCCACAGTTGAGGGACAGACCAAATATCGAAGAAAGCTTATTAAGAACAGTTTCACTGAAGTACCATTGGAAAAAAAAAACATTCGCACACAGCATATCTGTAAGAATATTCAGTGCTCGTTTAATAAATAAAAGTTGGGTTTTGCTCAAATGACAAAGATTGCCTCTAAAAATATGCACACAAAGAACGTTTATTTATACAAGAAAACCTTTAAAATGTACAACAAAATTTACAAATACTGCAAAAATATATTCTGCAAACCAGTTTTTGTCTAGCTGGGGTTGCAATAACTTTTTCCATAAACGGCTGTCAAAGGTGTAAAAGACAGCTGTGTCCAGTTAGGGGCCATAGAGGCTGCTCACAGGCTCAACAGACGGCGTGTGAAGTCTTACAGGCAACGGTAGACATTGGTTCTTATCCAAGCCCCTATCTCGGTTAACCAATTTGAAAAAAAAAATTTAAATGACAAAGAAGGATCGAAATTGAATGGTGTTTCTATCGTTTTGTTGTCTGAATCACGATTGCTCTCTTGTAGTCCTCAATAGCCGCGCCTTTCTTCCCTTGTTTGCCAAGAACGTCAGCTCGTCTTTTATACACCAGAGCATCACCGGGCTTAAGGCTTAAGGCTGAGGAAAAATATTAAAATCGGAAGATTGTAGAGGAAGCAGGCATAAAAATTTCAACCGAGTGTGGAAAGTAACCTGGGATTACATTGGTTTTGGTTTTTCAATACCTCGCTATCTGATTGGTCCTTACAAACTCGCACTACCTTCTCAACCAATCAGATGCAAAACTGAAATAAATAGGGGCTTTGTTGATCGCGTTTTCCGGCGCCTAAAGCAGTTTATTAGTAATATTTACCAAGGGCTATTGTCGTTTCTTTAGCTGGCTTTCCGACATTCCATCGAAATGCGCCGAAGGTAAAAACTCATTGCGTAGCCATACCAAAATATTTGGTTGAATACTCAAGCTCCTTTCACAACAATCTGGTGCTTTTGTAGACAAAGCTTGTAGAATTAAAAAAATTCGAAAAGGATAACCAGCGTAGGTTGAGTCAACGACAGAAAACGAAGCTTTTCGAAAACACTGATTTGGAATGGCCTCGTAATCCCTGTAATAACCTATAACATTGGCGCATGCTCTGTCATTCATATAAGGTCACGGTATCGTACATCCAGCATATTAATGGACTACCTTAACGTGACATTCATGTAGCGCGAATTGCTTTCTTGTTTTATCGGCTGAAGAGTTTCCCCAACTAAATATACTCTAAAACAGACCCAACGGGTAGACAAATGTACGCGTCCTGGGAGGAGTGGGTGGGGGTTCCTACCTCTAGTATAATCATCCTCAGACTCCTTGTATTTTCTTAGTGAAGCGTAAAGGTTTGCTCGATTGAAGTACAGATGAGCAGCGTACGGATTCAGCTCCACTATAAATATAAAAAGAATCATTGTAAGTGCTTAAAACAGAAAGAAGGATAACGGCTTAGTTTAAGACTTAAATATAGGAAGGACTTTTATAGACGTTATTAATACCTAAGACATTTTACGTTAGGAGTGATTCTCTCTCGAAAATACTTAACTACATTTTTTTTTAAAATTTTAACTTTGAACGTTTTTTTTGCTAGCTCCCTTTAAAAGCATGATTATCCCCAGGAATTGCGTCAAGTCTCTTTGACATTTCACCGGCATTCATTTACACCCTTAAGTAGAGAGAGACACTGTGAGTAAAAACACTTGATGTTTTGTAAAAGAACACGACACTGATGATTTAACCAGGGCCTGCACCATTCGATCCAGAGCGCAATTTATCGTGTGCCGCGCATTAAAAACCTAACTGGCTTTTGCTAAAGAAATTTCCCCACAGAATACCTGCTCGGTTGAAATCTTGTATCGCTCCTCGGGTGTCTTTTATCATCACCTGTGTAGAAAAAAAAATACCAAAACGAATGACATTTATTTAAAAATAATTGTTTTGTAACGTAACAACAGAAACAATTGAAACTTATAGAACATGAGCAGTAATGATAGAATATGGAGTTGCGCGTTTTCGTTTGACCGCTGTGCACGAATAACGCACCTTCGTTATAGCTCTGTTAAGTACTGCAGATTCGTCTTCAGAATACCAAGACAAAGCCTTGTCGTAGTAGTTCAGGGCCTTTTAAAAGAAAAAAAATTGTATGTCAATATTGGGCCTACTTCGAGCGTTTACTCGCCTGAACAACATGGAGTATGACGCACGGACAAAAGCACAACACAAGGTCAGTTTCCATGGAAACAAGTGACGTCACACAAGAACGCAAACGAGTCCGCCAGGGCTACGAATGGTAACAGCTTTAGCCCAACAGGATTATATCAGAGGTTCCGGTAACTTTTCCACAAGCAGCTGCCGATGGTTTAATAGACGACTGCGCCCGAAAAAGGGGCCGTAAGGTGAAACTCAAACACGAGAGGCTTCGCAGGTTCAACAGATGGCGATAAGAAGTCTTATAGGCGGTAACAGACCACCGATAACCAGCTTTTGATGAGCCCTTGATTATAACTGTATCAAAATCTTAACTTTCCAGGTAAAAGCACAGGAAAAATTACTACTAATGAAAATTTCACTCACCTGCTTGAATTGCCTCTGTCTAAAGTAGACATTAGCGGCGTTATAATAAGCGAGAGCGTACGATGGATCTGTTTTAACTGCCGCTTGGTAATCGCGGATGGCATTCACCAAGTCTCCCATGAACTGTGAAAAACGAGAGAGAAAATTTTTCAGAAACCACCTCTAAGGGCCTCTTCACACGAGCACGGGTTGAATTCTAGCCCAGGTCGAAACACCGCTGGGAATCCTAAATTAAAGATACACAATTTACAAGAACACGGTTTGTCAGTCTGCACTAGCATGTGGTTCTCTTCGAGATTGACTCGGGTCATCCTTCTTACCGAAGAAAAAACCTGATAACATCTAACAATGCCCCCTTCCCTACCATACAATGTTGAATCAAACCGCATGGAAATGTAGAGAAGCTCATTTGATATTCCTTTGGGTGGGGAGAGAAAGGCGAATAGTTGAAGAGTAATACAAAAAGGTTGAAAGAAAGTAACCGAATACTTAAGCCACTAATTGTAGATTAAGCTCTAGTTGGGAGATAAAGAGGTACTCACCTGCTGCACTACTCCACGATTCGTCAACAACTCTGCAGTCTTAGAAATCTGATCGAACAACAAGGGCAATTAGTTAGCGACAACTTCTAAATAGAAAAATGACAACTCCTACTCTAATAACAATACACAATCCAAGACAGTATTCGTGTACCTTGATAGCGTCATTCATATCAACAAAGGCACCAAACGTGTTTCGCATCTGTAAGTTTACAACAGCGCGGCCTTCCAAAGCTGACTGGCATGCTAAAAGAAGACGAAAAGAAACACAAAAATTACACTAAGGGACGATACAATTAGTAACTTTCGAGACACTGTGAGTATATAACCCGACGTGCCAGAGAGAAAAGAAACGGTTAAGAATTCGAACAGATGGGCGTTATATTAGACTTTACAGCCTCAGTAAGCATATTCTCCCTACTGTTCTCTATACATTTCCTAAGGAACTGAGATAAAGAATTTGTTGAACAGTCAAGAGTTTCTTTAGTTTGTGGTGATCATTTCCTCTATTCTCGTGACCTTAGTGAGTGATTCAGCAGTAACACTGTAGGGGGAAATTAGATTGGAGTCACCCTCAGAGATTAGAGGATTAAAAGAGGGCAGCGAAGGAGTCAAAAGCAGGACTACCGAAAAACAGATTCAGTCGAGTGACAGAGTGGAAGATCTGAGCCTGGGATCCCAAAAATTTCAAACTTAGCACCCTGAGCAACTCGACCACGTTGCCTTTACAGAAAATATCGAGACAGAACAGCATGTCATTTCAAACATTTAAGTTGTAAAAAAACACAAACACCACCAGTCCAGTGTTACAAACCAATTTATTTTCATTTCACCGACCTGAATTAATGGATATTGCAGCAGAAAACTGGTTCCATGCCGCTTGAAACTTTCCTTCAACCTGATAAGGAACCGAAAGGAATCAGTTGAGATAATCCACCAAATTATCCATGAACGTACAGTCGAATGTTTAATATATTACCCATTCAGACAGTTTTTCAATCTCTTTCTCTGTTCCTCGGTCACTGACTCATTCGGATAGCCAGCTAGTTAGTCAGCCGGTCACAGATAGAGACAGACAGACTGATAATAAGCAAGACAGAAAGACAATCTATCAGTCAGTCAGTCAGTCAATCAATCAATCAGTCAGTCGGTCCGTCCGTCTGTCCGCCCGTCTGTCCATCAGGCAGTCAGTTAGCCAACCAGCCAGTCACTCAGTCACTCAGTCAATAAGTCAGTCAGTTTGTAAGTCAGTCGGTCAGTCCGTCCGCCCGTTCGTCCGTCCGTCTGCCTGTTTGTTCGTCCATCAGTCAGTCAGTCAGATAGCCGGTCATTCAGACAGTCAATCAATCTGTAAGTCAGTCAATCAGCCAGTCAGTCAGTCAATCTGTCAGTAAGTCAGTCAGTCCGTTCGTCAGTCAGTCAGTAAATCCACACTCTTCAAGCATAAAAAAGTCACGCACATGAAGAAACCCCTATGATGATAATTGCCCTTATTTTTATGACAGGCAGTCAGTCAATCAGTTAGTCAATCAGCCTTTCCGCAAGTCACACAAACAGTCAGTACCACAGTCTGTCAGTTCGTCGTTCAGTCAGTGAGGCAGCTTGTGAAGAAGGGAAGTACGTAAGCAATTGGCAATCAATTAATCTAGCAATTCTTCAATCCTTGACAGCCACTTTATATTAGTTACCTGCAAATTGTAGCCCAAGTTCACTCGTGCAGATAAACACAGTGGGTCCACGTGAAGAGCCTTTAAATAATCATGTCTGAAATAAAAGGTAACATGAACAGGTCGATAGCAAGCCATTATGTAGAAAACTTCCTGTTGCCTTGTTTGCTCCATAAGTTAGGGAGACAAACTCTTCTGCAATAGGTCCTCTGCATTTTTGATTAGAGAGGAAGCCGAGAAGTGAAGGCCGGTAGAGGGCTGGGGCGGACTTATAGACAGAATGTAGAAAGAGAGCGGTTAAATGGGAAGACAGGAGATAGGGGTTAGAGTGAGGAAGCAGGAACACAAACAAGTAAATAATTAAGTGAACATGTTGGCAGATGGTTGGGAAAATAAGAGAAAGTATCTTAGTACTCGCCTTCCCAGAATAGTTCCATCTTCGTGTCCAAAGTCCATCAATGCATTTCCACGCCCATTGTATGCTTCAACAAAGAACGGATCGATACGAAGAGCATCGTTGTAAGACGAAACAGCTTCCTCCAAGCGGTTTAACCTGGGTAAAGCATTAAACAGAGGAGTGTAAAGACAGGTATAGTGATTGCTGTGTATATCATATGAAACCAACAAAGCAGTGATACTGAACGAGGCTTCTGATTAACAGAAACTTTGGCTACATACGGCAGCAAAACAGAGATTAAAACGATAACCCTGTTTGGATTTCGTTGGGGGTGGAAGCGAAGTCATAACCTCCATAGTAAGCTAGGTAAAGATACAACTAGCGTGCACTCGTTATAAGCGCTGCAGGACGCGCAGTTTTCGCCCGCGGGAAGATTTTAGACGAGTCGGGGAGAGTTTAGCCGGGGGCTGGCATTAATATACGCCCCTTGCAGATCTCTCGTCGGCTCGCTCCGCTCCAGGCCCCATACTTTCCCGCAGACAAAGAAACGCACGCGCAGAAACACTTATAATGAACGCCGACTCGCACGCTAAGATACAGCCAGCGTTTTCTTTCCTTTTACTTTTCTTTTTGTTTTTTGCTAACTACTCCGCATAGGAACGACCAACACCACTCACTTGTGATAACAAAGACCCAGTGTGTGACGTATATGGGGGTTGGCTGGCGACACCTTAAGGAAAGACAAAAAATGACATATTTTATTTTTTTGCACACGAAACAAAGAGAATGACCAGAGGCGCTAAAAGAAAGTCTCTAGGGTACCTTGGCAGCAGCTAGGAAATCTTGTAATGCATTTTCCACGTCATCTATTTCGTAATAAAGCAATCCTCGATTCTGCAGAACCTATATCGGAACAGAAAAACGAGGACAACAGAAAACTTAAGCCAAAGAAGGGAGGAAGGAACCGACCGTTAGCCCTACAACACGGCGGTAAAACGTCGAGCATGCGCAAAGAAATCAATCTCGGCTGATCACGCGCCAATTTCTCGCCCAAAGTATCCAAGAAAAACATAACAAACAACCTCCTCCACACAAAATATGGAAGGGGGAGGGGGTTGGATGGAAGAGTCCACGATATTTGTAAACGCAAGTAAATTTAAAGAAAAAATTGAAACTATTTGAACGCACAGCTTACTTGATTACGGGTTTCCTGCTAAATAACCATTTTTTTTAACTTTATAAAAAAAAGTTAAACGCTTTAGAAACACCGTAAGTTTTATTCTACTTGACCCTGAAAGCCCGAAAGCACGCCGCATGTCACATGGAAAACTTCCCAGAGTTTTTAGGTTTAAACACAGACTCACCTTAATATTAGGAGCATCTTCAAGTAGCATTACTGTTCCATAATCCATCAGCGCCTAGGGATTAGCGATAAAAAAATTGGGGCGTAAGAAAGGTGTTATTAGTTTTTCTCGAGTGTGGAACAAAGCAATAAATCTGAGACCCCAAAAGGAATCGAACCTCATACCATTGGATTATACCATTGGAATATATATACGACAAGATAATCTGGTTTTATCAACAGAGTTTATCATGTAAATTGATTATCGTTAGGTGTTTCCAAAGCTGACGTTTGCGCGTTAGTTCCTCGTGAGCCCTTTGTTTGAATATATATTTTTGACCATGGACGTCGAGGAGAATTTTCGTTTGCCCCACGCATGAAGCAAAACGTCTAACATCTTTCCTTATTCGAAAACCTAATTCACAGGTTACCATATTTGTTTTTCTAAAATACTAGAGGTTATTGTAGACGTAGGTATGAATTCTAATCAAACAGTTGTTCACCAAGCTGTACCAACCTTCTGAAAGAATCTCATTTCATAGTAGCAAACCGCACGGTTGAAGTAAGCCAGTGAACATTTACAGTCGATTGCCACAGCTTCTGTGAGATCTTTTACTGCCAGACTGAAAGCTTTGATGTTGTATTTCAACGCTCCCCTGCAGGTTACAGTAAGGCACATCTCTATTTTCATAAGCTTCAACCTGGCGCTTGTTATATGTTTGTCTTTCGTGTCTCAAATGTTTCATCCACTTGTATTTCATTCATAAGTTAGTCTACTTGTTCGTAGTGCGTTCGTACGTTCATAATTCCTTATTTCGGTTCTTCATAGATTTATACCCTTATTTGTTTGTTTTTCGTTCGTTCACCAGCTCGTTTGCGTTTTCGTCCTCCGCTCATGCTTTGTTCTTTCGCAAGTTAGTCCATTCGTTCATCAAATCATTCAGTGTTGTATATCACATTGTCACAGTTCTGACATTAAAAGCTTTTTTTCGTGTTTTAAAATATCGCAACACAAAGAGTTTTTATCGCAGCAAACCAATAAAAATTCACAAAAGTATTTTTTTTGGCAAGCAACAAACCTGTAGAGGTAGGCCCTAACACTGCGAGGCTGTAGCTTAATGGCCTCATTACAGCTCATGATTCCTTTACTGTAGCGTCCCTTCAGACCATAGTAAGCTGCCCGACTCAAAAATGCCTAAGGAGCAATCAAATACGACACGGAACTCGCAAAATGAAATCAGGCGTAAAAGTCCATTCCTAGACAAAATAGTGGACTACTTACACCCCCATCTCCTTCTTATGCAGGCAGTAACAGACACGTGGTTGAGCTGAAATCTCGTGATATGGGAAGGGGAGCTAAAATAGTGTACGCTGACCCGATGGAAAACGCAAGACACATCCATAAGCTTCAACCTTGCCTTTAAAGACACCTTCAGCTAATTTTATTAAATTCTTTTTTTTCTACGAGTACGGAGCTTATGGGAAGGATCTTTTCGCTACAAAACTTATTAGACTGTAGGCAGATGAAACCGTGCACGAGAAAAGACCTCAGATGCATGTAAGAACACTAGATGGTAACAATCGCATATATAAAAAGAAATGACCTTAAAAACAAGTCTATTTTCCTAAGAGTACACATGCATCGGTCTAACTTAGTGAAAACAGAAAGGGGAGCAGTTTTAGACAGCTTTCCAGTAAATTTAAGTAGGTTTCGTTTTGATCAGACTACAAGACTACATCCATAGGTTCGTTAGTTAACTGTGGAAGTAATAAGAACTTCTACGACACTCAAATACCGCTGACCTGGAAAAGTGTTGGCTTGATGGCCAATGCTCGGTTAAAATCATGGATTCCTTTGGCGTGCTTTAACTTCATCTTCGTCAGTCCGCGCTGGTAAAAAGCCTGTCAAAGGTACGAAAACCTTTTAGCTCAATATTCAGGATAATTTTTTTTCCTACTACACGCACAAAAATTCCCTTCCGCCTCATCTTGGAAATGTAAATCGAGTAGGGGATTAGAGTAAGAAAGACTATCCAATGAAGAGAAATTTTAGAAATTTTCGATGGAGTGTGGTAAAATCAGAAAAACCGAGTTATCACACCGGCCAATCAAAAGAAGGGAACATATCTTAAAGAGCCAATCAGAACTCAAAGTAAAAACGAGCAAAATGTCTAGAGCGCGGGAACAACTCGCGATTGGTTAAGTGGTTAACAGGGTGGCACAAATTTTCTGCACGAACTTGGTTTGTTTTCAAATTTGAGTCCTCATTGGCTCTTTGTGACATCTGTCTTTGTTCTTAAAATACCTCTGCAAAATCTGGGTTCACTCGAATGGCATTATTAAAAGCGTCAAGAGCACCGAGTGGCCTCCCAAGCTCTGAATGACACATGCCAATCAGGAAATGAACAGATGCAGCTTCCATTGGCATTTCCACTCGAGGATTCCATGGAGTCTAAGGAAACAAATTGAATGAAATCAGATCAAAACCCGTATGTATCCTTGACAATAACAAACAACAACAACAACAAACCACAAAAATTCATTTATTCTAGCTATTAAAATACATATCTAACATTCCCATCCCACAAAACAGAGAAGCTAATCAATAGCACCAGAGAGAACTCCCACATGCAATTTCTCAGGGAGTACCGATGTGTTCCACACGGGTCATACCAATGGAGCAATTGATCAGTGGTCACACATGCTAATACAACCCTAGCCTTTCCACACGAGAAGGTGAATAACAGAGACTAAAGACTAATTTTACGGCTAGATTTATTCAGCTTTCCATATCGTTACAATAGATGCAGTAGAGTGTGGCCCACAAGGTAAGACTTAGTTGAAACTCACCATGATGTCGATGGCTCTTTCAAAACTCCTGATGGCGTTCTCAAATCTCTTGGCCTTCATGTTGGTCTTACCCAATAGAATAAACAATGGAGCTACAGGTTTCACACGGGTGGCTCGTTCAAGAACTTCAATGGCCTAGAAAAAAAGTCATAATAAGTAGGATAAACAAGTGAACGGAGAAATTCGAAAGAAGGCATATAAAGCACAAAGGGACGAAATGACGAAGGAACAAGAGAGAGATGAGACGAAAAGACGAAGGGAATGAGGGCACGAAGACACGTGGAACGAAGGCACGAAGGGACACAGAAACGCAGGGACGAAGGGAAGTAGGGGCCGAAGGCACGAAGGCACGAAGGCACTAAGGGACACAAGAACGCAGGTACGAAGGGCCGAAGGCACGAATGAACGTGAGGACGAGGGGACGAAGCGCCGAAGGAACGATGGCCAAAGGGTACGAAAGCATGAAGGTACGAAGGGACAAAGAGATGAGGGGACGAAGGGACGAAGGGACGAAGGGACGAAGGGACGAAGGGACGAAGGGACGAAGGGACGAAGGGACGAAGGGACGAAGGGACGAAGGGACGAAGGGACGAAGGGACGAAGGGACGAAGGGACGAAGGGACGAAGGGACGAAGGAACGATTGACGCAAAAGTCTTTGCGAAATTTGAATCAGAGACACAGGTTGATAGTTGGAGAGCAGATACGTCATGGGTGGTAAGAAAGGTTACTGGCCTTTTCGACCTCAACGAACATTTCCTTGGCTGTGATAAGTTTATATTACCTGGTCGAAATTTTTCAAGAAGCTTTGAACTACTGCTTGTTGAGTTGCCGATGCTCCCAGACCTCGGTTCAAGTCTGCAGCTTGCCTAATGTAGTAAAAGACTTCATGAGAAACTCAATACAAAGCAAGGCTTCAGAGGTTAAAGAGACTTGCCATTACTTGGACAACACAATCATGAATCAAAGAGAGACAAGACTACAGACCTGACGTGAAAACTTGCAAGCTCTAACTTGTTTTGCTCCAATAACAGTTTTCCCTGAAAATACAAACCCTTCTTTAGTTCATGCATTCAAGAGGACCCCTTCCACCTCACACAGAGATGGGTGTTTAAGCACAATCGAGTATCACTTTTAGCGATTCGATCTCAATACAAAACCGTTATTGAGACCTCCAAAGACTATCACGTGTACATGGCACTATCGTAGAGGTTAAACGTCTACGCATGTGCAAACGTTGTCGTGTCCTGGTGAAGTGCTTTCAGGTTATCAGAGCCAAGATGTCATACAGGAGTCATAAACAACTACACAAGCCAGTGAGTCGTGGTGATTTGAAACCGTTTAAATGCTTTGATAAAGTTCACTACAAATATGGTAAAACGACAGATTATCCCGTCATTTAATAATCTTTGTGTTCGAAAAGTTTCGAGTTTTCCTTTTCCTTCCTTATGCTCCCTTTTACAGTTTTCCGTCAATTTTTTTTAAATTTTATTTGCATATTTTGCGTAATAACGATGTTTTTTTTGCCTTTCAAATTTGGCGCAGGAAATTGGCTTGTGACGGGCAAAATTGATCTCCTGGCGCATGCTCTAAGTTCAACCGCTGTGTTGTGCGACATCGTCAAATTACATTATGTCGCTTAGCAACGCCACTGACTTGTTACGTCGTGTACTCAGCCAAATACTAATATACGGTTCCCATCTCCTCATTTCCCACCACGTAGTACGTCACTTCGCTTCTTGCAAAATTCAGCAACATTTTTTTCTCTTCACCGCCTAAATTATTAAATCGAAATGAGGAGGATGTTAATATTTTCACTTACCCTGGCCATGTGGTAGTCTGATACGTCCGGTCTCATGTGAATGACTCTTGTATAATCCAGAATGGCATCTTGAGTCTGGAAAACATAACGATAGTAAGAAGCCAGATCAAGGTTGAGTTGACAATGGCTCTTGATAGTCTCTACAAGTTGATGAGGGTTGGCCTGTATTTGCCTGTATTCACCAAAACTTTGTATTGGCTGCTTTTGATGTTAATTTTACTTTTGTTCTTATCGGCACTATGAGATTATTTTCTCGACACTCGATCTAAAACCCGCTCTTGATACCAACAAAACAAACAAAATACCAAACAAGAAAACAAAAAGCCCAGCTGAACGGCCAATTTGCGTGCCAGTAAATTTACTCATGGTACAACACGCCTAAAACAATTTTTTTCTACCAATCAAACCTAATCGCAATTTCAATTCCATCAGACAAACTTGTAACCCACCATGTGGAGTTTGTGATAAGCCTCGGCTCGGCAGATGTAAGCTCTGATGTATGTCGGATCCACTCGAATGGCTGCTGTGTAACGACGAACAGCTCTAATGAAAACAGCAAAAGTGGAATTATCAAAAGGGAATTTTTTGATTTGAAATAAACCCTTTTACGATTGCGACAGCCATTTCAATTACAGTATTACATGGTGTTCGAGGTTGGTGACTCTATTTACTCAAGATAGCTAACGTGGCGGTAAAAAAGGATCTAGCTTAAGACATCACTTTTTAAAGAGAGGAAAAAGGAGCTCACTTGTGGTAATTGCTGTTTTTGATGATATAAATCAAGCCGATGTTGACATGAGCACTAGCTAAATTGGAATCCAGTTGAAGAGCAGCCTCAAAATCAGGAACAGCATCCTCCCATCTGAAAAATGACGAAAAAAAATAAATAAAAGGTAATTAAAAGTCAATCCAGAGTTTGCCCTTAGCGTGAACAATTTGAAAGATAAAGATGGACCAGTGGATAACTTAGCTGCAAGCCCATGACAACGCATTAGATCAGGTTCCCAGTTACATAAAGACATGTGCAATGTAGCACCTTTGCCCTAAGCACGTTAGTTGATACAGTAACAAATTTACACGTTGATCGAGCCGTTAGGAAAGGTTCACCATTTGCTATATGGAAACGAGTTGAAAGACTTTAGAACCCTTCAAAATGGGAGCGAATTTGTAGCGGACGAACTTGCAATTCAGCGAAACTCCAGATACCACTCGAACCATCTATTTCCTACTTGGAGAGAGGCACTGAAAGAGTGACTAGAGTGATCCGAGAATATAACCCGGTGACCATTTCTAAGGCTCGAACCTAAGGTTCTCCCACAAAAGAGATATTTTGACCTGTAGGATCCTACAAGTTTGAATCTTACTCGTGATGTAAGACGTATTTTCCTTTCAGGAAGAGCACAACTAGAGCGCATTTTGATTGAGTGTCGTAAAACCAAAACCAAAGTAATCACAACAGCCAATCGGAAGAAAGGAAATTATCTCTAAGAGCCAATGAAATTTTAAAGTAAAACCAACCAAACTCCCTAAAGCGCGCGAAAACGCGTGTGACCAGTTCGTGATTGATTTAAGTTTTGCATCTGATTGGTTGAAAGAGTGGCGCGAGTTTACTGGAGCTAAAAGAAAGCAATCCAGGAGTACATTCTACACTCAATGAAAGATTGCTCCAGTTTCACTTGCTTCATGGTGAGTAACCCAGGATAAACTCCTTTTGTGTGCGCAAGTTGTCTCTAGGACTTACTCTTACCTTTTCAAGTCGGTGTACAAAATTCCCCGATGCAGAAATGCTTTGACATTATCTTCAGAGCTATCAAGAAGGAGAGACACACTCAAATCCTGCAGAGCTCTCCTCGAATGTACTCTGGAATAAAACAGTAAAGTTGGAACAGTTTTTGAAGGGCCCCTCTTTTGAAATTTCAACACAGAATAACTTCTTATTTCTAATTTTTTATTTCTTACTTTCTCAACAAACATCCTCTGTGATAGAATGCCACTGCATTGTTAGGATCATAATGAACAGCAGCGGCTAGGTCTTTCAATGCAGCCTCGAAGTTATCCTGCAACAAAGCGGAAATTCTACACATAAGAGAAGCTGCTGTATGGTAAGGAAACTAGCTTCTTCCTAAATGTTACATTATCGGTCCCCGAAACCACGCTGGTGATTTCCGAATTTTCCGAAAGAGACGCTTTTTCTTGGACCAAAAGAGTCTGGAAAGAGACCTTTGGGCATGATGCCTTTGTGATGACCGCTGTGATGAGCGTGTTACCGAACAAGAATGCCGAAAGTATTCCGGGGAAACAATAAAAAGGCAGAATTAAACTGACTCAATATCAAGCTAAGATTGAGGAAAAGTGTAGTTCCTCAAAGAAGCTGTAACATTGCTGAGGGGGAGGGAGTTAGGGAACTTTTGCATTAACTCAGATATTTCAACAGTTAAACACAGTCAGGTGACGCATGGAAGAAAGACATTTTACGGAAGCTCCTTTTACGAAGACAGCAATGACTAATTAGGCTCTAAGCACGGAAAATCTATTCATTACACATACCATCTTGGCATACACTCTTGCCCTGTAAGTATAAGCCTTCGAGTCTTCTGGGTCCTGCTGGAGAATCTCTGTAAAATCTCTAAGGGCAGCAGTCCAGTTTCTGTGTTTAGCAAATATCAAGACAAAAGTAATCAGGAAAGTCTTTTAATACTTTTGAATTCCCGTGGACTGTAAAGAGGCATTAAAATGCCTCGTGGCTCTCGTGGGTAGAAAGAAGCACTACGAAATCAAAATACCTTTCTCAAGAACAACAGACACCGTTCAAACGGGAAATATCCGCTGCGTTACATTATTTCAGTGTTTCCAATAAGATCGTAATAAGGCAATTGATAATCGATACAAGATCGATCTGAATTCGATACTCACTCGTTTTGAAAACGAAACAGGCCTATCTCGAACATGGCATCCGTCTTCGAAGGCAAAAGCTTCGCTGCAATCTTATAATCCTCAAGAGCTAAAATCATATCGCCACGCTTAAAAAAAAAAAGAGACAAACTAATAAAAAAAACAAACAAAAAATTAACCTACAGAATGACTGAAAGTGCCATTTTATTTAGATCTCGATGAAATCTAAGATCTAACCGAGAATGACTCAACCTTGAAAAAGCAGTCGGCATACTCACCATTTTAAACATAGCTGCTCTCTGGTAGTAGGTCTCGGCATCATCAGGATTCAACCTGATCGCCTACAATTAATCACTAAACTCAGTAAATTCAATTCGCACGTAGAATTAAAATCCATAAGGACGTGAAAACAGAAATATCGTGGCATCATTTCCGTATTACCTGGGAGTAATTGACAATGGCCATTGTTGCATCGTTTTCTTGCCGATATAGTTCCGCTCTGTAGGTTAGAGAAACAGTGGTCAGTTCATGCTAAACGGTCAAAACCACAAATGATCAGGATTAGCCCTGTTAAGTATGCTCCCAACCCCCTCCCTTGTTGGGCACTGATGACACCACCTTGTTAATGATTCAGTTTAACATTGCATGTTGAATGATTCCTTCTCTTCGCTCTCTGATTGGTATAGAAAACTCGGACTACTTTCTCAACCAATCAGATGCAAAACTGGGAAGTTCTTTATCTACAAGTGCCTCTCGCACTGATTTATGTCTACACCTCTTTCTACCGTATTTCTTTGAATTTCTCGCTTTCTCTGTCAAAATCACGTTAAACAGAGCTTGGCGTTGCGGTTAGTGAATAATGAAAGAGTTAGTCATTCATAGTCAATGTTAAAATAATAATAATGATAATAATGCAATAATAATAATTATTATGATACTGATAATAATAGTAGTAATAATAATAATTCAACAGTTGATATTCCGCGAGGTTGCTCTTCTTGTCCACTGTTTCCAGGTTGAATTGGAATTCAGAATGTTGTCTCGCTTTCTTTTTCCACCCTTGTTCCTTTCCGTTCATTCATCGCGTTTTGATGTTTTTACTATCATAGTAAGCCATAATCAGCGGAACTCATGGTTCTCTTTTTGCGTCGGTAACGGACAATACAGAGAATTACAACAAAGCGTCTTCCGTCAAGTCTCCTTTAATGCTTCAGAAGGTAACTGCGATAGCGGAGCTTAATCAGCGATCCAACTGTTATTCGGTTTTACTATGCCTATTGTTTGCCTATGTCTATCTCTATTGAAACGAACCTGGATCGAAATGCTCGGGCTTGACTGCTGTTGTTCTTGATGATGAAAGACAAGTCCTCCAAAGCTAACTATAATACGCAAGGATATAAACAATACAACAACAACAACAACAACAACAACAAGATACAACAAAATTGGTTGCGAATAGTTTTAGCACCAATAGCAAATGAGATACCTGTAATCAAGAAAAGACTCGATTGACAGTATCTGCTCTACGGAGAAAATGTAGATATATGTAGCCAAAGAAGCATAAAGAACGCTTGGACATATAATTGTTAAATATAACCGATCTAGCGGTTTTGAATACATACGTTGTTGGTCGACAAACCAAGATGGATTGTGCGCGCATTGCGGGGACAACATAAAACGCGTACTGCTTGTCTTTCAATAGACAGTACCTTTCTGTTATCTTGTAGAAGATGAAGCAGGTGTCTGTGCCAATACGCGTCCAGCAGTTTTGGTTCCAGTTCAATAGATCTGCAATTGAAGCAAAAACAATTGGTAGGGGCGAGTTCCAACTTTACGCAGTTAATCCAGTTACAGATTCAACCGTAAAACTGGATTGAAATGGGCAAAAAATACGTTACTAAATATGACACAAAATGAAAAATCATTTCTCGTTGTTTCACCTGTTTAAGTCATCCCAAGCTTTCTTTAGATATCCAAGCTGTAGATAAAAATAAAATTCGATAACTGAAACAACACTTTCCGAGTGTCCATTTTTAGTAAAAGTAATATCTATTGCAAATATGAAAATAGTCGCCTAAAAAACAACAAACTTAATGGGTTTACACCAAAGAAATTCATGATGCTGAGGATGTGGCGCGCAGGAAAATGCAGGACATTCTTGTGCCCACATCCACAGGAAATTACCTTACAAAGGCAGGGAAACTAACAATGATCCAACAAGGTGTTTCTTAAACAAGTCAAGAAAGCACCTGGTTTCAAAAAGGCGGGAGAGAAGTGACCCTGTCGTTGGTTTATCTTTTGTTGCTAGTCTACACCATATCTTAGGAGTAAATGTCAGAGGTTCCACGCCAACGTTGCCTCTAGTTTCATACCCGATTGGCGGGCACAAATGGCGGACCATGAAGTTCTAAGGACTGTGAAAGGTAGCTAGCTACCTTACGGCTTGCCTAGCTTAAAGAATGAGCATACGTTTTTCCACATATTTTATCATTTCCAATTCGCTTTTATCTTCTCCATCCTCAACCACTGTTGTCACCTTTTGATTTATTAAAAACCTCCTCATTGCTGTTCTCCTTCAGCAAACAACAATTGAGCAGATTTCCTTCCAATTAACGGCAATTCTGTATAAACCAAAACCAGCCCGAAATATCTTAGGAACACGTACTAGTCTTTTTAACCCTTCTATTCCCACGAGTGACCAATACAGAATTTCTCCTTACAATATCAAGACAATATCAACCAGATAAGTGATGAGAATAAAGAAAAATATCAATTTGGGGATAATTGATTGATCCAAGTTAGTTCTTTGAACTAACATCATAAGAATTGTATGGTTGACAGTAAGGAGAATTACAAATTGATCTGGGAGTTAAGGGTTACAATGGAAATAAAAACCAAACAGATCATAGATCCCACTTGTGCTTTTCAATGCTCCAGTGCCTGGTCTATCGTACCTTTCGGTAAACAGCCCCTCGTCGGCATAAATGAATGGCTAAAGATTCTTTTCCCTGAGTTGTGTCTATCAAATCAGTAAGTCGGTCGACTTCCTCTTGAAGAGCCTGAGGTACCGAAGGATAAAGTACTTTGGTTAGAATCAAGAGACGGAAACTAGATGAACACGAGAGTGTGCAGTGTTAATAAAAATCAACTAAACCGGAGGGAAACAGAAATGGTTGGAGTTAGCTGATAGAAATAACTGAAAAATTGGGTCAAGGGGAATCGGATCTTGTTCGAGCTACCAAGAAGTTCGAGTTGAAGTGAGCAAGGTCCTGCTGAATTTTTTAACTGGGATTTTTTTTCACTCGCGCGATGGACTTCGCAGAAAAGCAGGGACTGCTCGTAAGCTAACATTCGTATAAACGCCAAACCTAAATGCCGCTTCGTACAGTTTTAAGTTTGTATGTGTGATCAGTATGAAGTGTATCCCCACAACAGTTTGTAACAAAACGCTACAGAGGTATACAGTTGAAATACGGATGAGGTAAGAAAGCTGTTTAGCGATTCATGCTGCGCAATACCATTTATTTTACGCAAACACCGTGCTGGCTTAGAAGTAGAGTATTCCATAAGAAAATCAAACAACCAATATATCCTTGACCAACAACAACAAATAGGTTTAAATAATAAAATCTCGAATTAGTCTTTGCTACGTTGCAACCACTACAATGTTCACTTAGATATTACACCCTCTTGCCTTTTGCTCACCAAGTGGGAAACTGCACAGCTATCCCTTCCCTGACCTAACAATAGTCAACTGATAACAAGTCAGGGTTAATATTTGGTTCAGAGGAGGGGTAAGTGTGCGGTTGCTCAGGTAGCGACACTGATCCAAAGAAGTGAACTGTATCGGCGTAGTAGGCAAACAAAGAAGAAAACTTGGGACTGACTTACCTGGTACAATTCTTGGTCTGAGCTTTGAATCTCCGGCTCAATAACTTGTATATCGTCCAATATATTATTGTCAATAACTACCGCTGAGGACTTGCTACAAAAAAAACAAAAAAAACAAAAAAAAAAAACTCAGTTTCATCCACAGTATTATAGTAAAAAAATTACTGCGTATTTTTGCCTTACCTTGGAGTCGGTGGTCTTGGAGATGCAAAACTCTGCAGATCAACTAGAGGAAAAAAAAAAGACAAAAACAATTAAAAAGAGAATTATTCAGCTAACGAGGAAACTAAAAGATAATGTACCGAACCTTCTAGGGGAACTTCAGTTAATTCGCCGACAGTCCCTTAAATCAGCGGTCAGCAAATAACTAACGTAATACAGTCACAATTCAGCGCGGACGAACAGCCGAATGCAAATAATGACGTACACACGTCGCGTGATAACCACTTTTTCTCGGTTTGTTTGGGTTTATCAGGGTTTCTTTGAGAAATTAAGGCTCCACTTGCGCGCCTGCATCGTGCACTGGAGCTCCTTTATTAAAGAAGGGTCAGATTCTATCATGACAAATAAAAACTTAAGGAGTAACGTTAAATTTTGGGAAGCATATAATAACAAGAAGGATCTGAAAATCTCGACTTCCTGTACTCCGAGGAATACCTTGCCACTGCATGCCTGCTTTACCAAGGTTACACCCTCTAGACAATAACCTTATCAATTCTCATAACTAGTCCATGGATATTACATAGAAATTGTGAGGAGAAGTTGGATGTTTAAAACCACCATCGGGAGTTTAACCACACCATCCAAGACGAGAACTAAATAATCGTAAGCTAACTGATTTAAGCTAAAATTTTTTGATACAGTGTCGAAAGTAATCCGAGAATGCTTTGCTTTTAATCAACTGTACTCTGTGATTGGTCCAGAAACCTCGCACCATCCTCCCGACCAATTAGATGCAAAACTAAAACCATTCGCATTTTCCCGCGCTTCAAGCAGCTTGTTGTTTTTACTTTGAGTTCTCATTGGCTGATGATAATGTAGACCTCTGTTATGATTGGTTGATTTTGATTTTTCGAAACTTGATTGAAAACTGCTATCATAAAAATAAACCAACCAACTGGTAACCAACTCACATTTTATTTCGGGCAATGCAGGTGTAGGAGGATAAACTTCGTCAAACCAAACATACCAGAGGCGTTCACGTACTTCATCAAAGTTTTCTATGTCTGATCTGTTGGGATAAATTTGTTCACTCCTAGTATCGTTTAGGTCCCAAAAACATCATTGCCAAAGCTTATCATTATTTTTACAGCATTAAACCCGGTAAGAGTACTCGTTCACTCTCTACATTGTATGCTAGCCGCTAGCAAGTAATTCACATCATTTTAGCGACGGCTCTCATACTATTAGCTTCGAGTCCTAGAGCCCGTTTCTCGAAAGTCCCCGTCACTTAACTGGCTTAAAGCTATATTTTAAAATCAAAATTTCAAGAACAGAAAAGCAGGTTCTTGTACCATAAAAAGTTTATTTTGTTTCTTTAACTAACAGTTTTATAGTAGAATTTACAAAACTTTTTAAACCACGATCTTGAAATGAAAAAAGAACTGCTTTACGAGCCCGTTCAGTTACCGGGAAATTCGAGAAACAAGTGTCAGCTGGACGGAGATGGGCTCTGTAAATTTGAAGTGCTTGGCGATAGTAAAATTTTTTCTTTCCTAAACTAGAAACTTTCACTCGAAGCCTACCTCATTTCCCTTGACCTGTGCGCTGAGTATTACTATATCATCCTCCATTCTAACATACATACCCGGTGAACTCGTTTTTGAAAACGTTGTCGAAGTCAAAAAGTGCAGGTTCGCTATTAACTCTCATCAGTTCAGCGCTGTAGAAGAGAGTGGAAACACGGCTTATTGGTCGGATTTCTTTTATTTCAAATTACCTTTTTAGAGCTTTTCCAATTTTCATGACATCCTTTTTTTTCCCAATAACAAAATTTGTTCGAATAAAAATTAAGACTGTGAAGAACCAGTTTTCTCTTTCAATTTACCTTACCTTATACTGATGCTTTCCCTTCTTTCTGTAATTGTTTCCTCGGCCAAGAATCTCACTTCAGTGAATGACCTGCATCTGTTACAGATAAAAATATTTTGACTAAGCTCAAGTCTCTCTGACACCAGTCTGAGACGACTGGACCGAACCTGTTCAAACTGAGGGACCGGTCACTATTCATCACCTGATCTCCCCCATAAGGCTCTGTAGTATTTAAATGACCCCCTCCCCCTCCCCCCCGCCTCTCATTGGCAGTCCCAGTCCCCTCTTCAAACTCTGTTCCGGTCAACAAATTCCCCACCACCACCCCCTCTCTAAAAACCATGTGATCCCCCAATCGTCTGACCCTTCCCCTCCCCACGGCGACAAATAACTGTACCATGTACCGCTGAGTATGTTTACTTCTAGTTCCTCATTTTGTGGAATTCCACGTTAAATACAGTACCTGACTAATTTCCTTGCCGGTTGATTCAAGAATTCTCTTATTGCCCGTTCTCTTTCCTGAATAAACGAACCGAACCAAATAAATAAACACATACATAAATAAACGAATGAATAAAGAAACGAAGAATAAAAGAATTTCTAGGAGAGACATTCAAATTACCAAATTTAAAACAAGGTTATTACATACCAACTCTCTCTTAGTCTTTTTCTTCACTCTTCGTTGGTGAGGGATTCTCCTATAAATGAAATCGAAGAAATTCAAATTTACATCCCACTTCATCTTGTCCTTTTGTATCCCATTCCACTCAGTCTTACCCTTCCTTCTCATAACATTCTATCCATTCCATTTCCCACCCATTTCTTGTCCTGTCTCATTTTATTTCATCCAATCTACCTCTATCCATTTAACTCATCTCATTTCGTTCTACTCGTTCTCATTCCCTTGAATTATACCAAACAATTCCATACCACTCATCATGAAAATTTTTCATCAACTACAACGAACTCGTTATACCTGCGACTTGTTGGACCAGTTGTGCCTGTTTGTATCGACATACTATCACCTGCATCTGTCCTTCCCTCATCAGTATCCAACTCGTGAGACAAGTCTTAAAACAACAAAACAACAAAACAACAACCTAAAATTATGAACTGTGTACCTAAGTATGACTCATTCTGACAGCTATGAGAGTCCTCCCCGAACAACCCCATAAGGACTTGCGCGGTGACTGTCGTTCCCAGGCTATCACTCTTAGCCAAAGTGAGCGAGAGAAACAAAGAAAATTTTGTCGTTCACATATACTGAAGCAACTTACCCAAAACAGTACTGTGCTCGGCGGGAGTAGTTTTCGTTGGGGCTGAGGATTCCTATACAAAATCAAAGAATTTTACAAGTTATATAATTTTGGTAGCAAAGTCAGTATTCTGCGACTTTCACTCGAAAAAAACTATGCAGCGACTAAGATACTTTTTTGATGAATACATATGATTTCTTTCATAGCCTAAAAGGTAATAGACCAATTTTAGGGGACTAATCATTTATTACCTGGGGGGAGGGGGGTGGAGGATTTTGGGAGACACATGGTTCTCAGGGAGAACGGAGTGGGGATCAGTCGTGCTAATAGAGTATAAAGGGAGGGCGGGACAGTGGAAAATTGACTGCTAAGAAGGGGGGGGGGGTCATTTGAATACAGCAGAGCCTTGTTGCTATGAGTTTTTATTCCTTCGTTCCTTGATTAGCCATGAGAAATTACTCCAACTCCTCCGCCAATCAGATGTTGGCAAAACGTAAACCAATCATGTCTTGATCACTATCGATTTCTTACGCTTCAGGCAGTTGGCTCGTTTTTACCTTGAGCTATCCTAGGCTCCTTGAGATATATTCCTTCATTTTAAATGTCCTTTGTGATTTTTGTTTAGGTCTTGATTTAACGACCCTGAATTCATGAGTGCTCTAAATGGTTTTTGTGACCCGAACAGTCTTTTCACTAACATACAACAATCAGAGGACTTCAAAACGTCATCATAACTTTTGAGATACCCAGTTTAAGATTTTTTTGGAAAATTAGAGAAAAACTTACGAAAATATCACGAACGCATATGAATACTTTTTATTTGTACCTGAGGAAGGATGCTGTCTTCAATTTCATGTTTTTCTTGCTGCTTTTCTTTGATGGCAGCGACTTGTTCACGCTGGTAATTCAACTGTATTCAAAGCACATCATTGGGAAAGGAAATAACAAGCAAATATTAGAAAACCACAAAATAAATGAGTCACATTACGGTCTCTTAGAGGCCAGCGTAGCAGTCATGCAATCTCGATCCCAGAGTCCTCTCTATACTTTCTCGGGGGAGGAAGAGATAGGGACGTGGGGATGAGGTTACATAGCAGTCTCCCAACCTCGTGAGCGCAATATTAAAGCGTACAGCACTAAGTAATGTCTCCAGGCTCGTGTGAAGACTGATTTACTTCCTCACACTCAGAAATCCATGCTACTTCGCCCCCACATGATACTCCAGTCAACAGACCGATTCTTTGGGCGCCAACTATTTCTACTGACGTCTTCAGCTTAAGTTGTGTCAGGAAATACGAGGAAATTATTTGGGTCCTCAACCCTTAAACCCCTAGGAGTGACTAGCATCCAATTTCCCCTAACAGCATCACTTCCGATTAAAACATTACGGCCATGAGAAAAAAACAGAAATGACCGCCAACTCAAGTAACTCTTGACTGTTAAAAAATTCTCCTTGTCAGGGCCATAGGAAAAGTACAGAGAACAGTATGGAGAATATGCACAATGAAAAGGGTTGAAGATATGAATAATGTTTTGGTGGGAAATCTAAAGATAAGGTTTTTGCCTCACAGCAGAGTGAATTCAAATTGAGATATAGCTTGTTACGTTTCGACTTTCAACGCCAGTGCACAAAATGCGAAGAGGTAGATTGTTTTGCACGTAAATTTTACAACTACGTAAGACGATTTTGGATACGTCACAGTTGCTCTAAAGACATAATACCGCAATGCCTTCAAAACATTTCGCGCTGGGAAAACTTATTGTAAACTATTGATGCCCCTAAATTACACAAACAACACCTGGTTTTAGCTTAAAATGATTTCTACCTCAAAATTCTGCGAGGAATGATCATAAACCTTGTGTATATGCGTATCTAAAGTTTACCTCATTCATGCTGACGTCATAACCCGCTTGAACTTTCAGATCCTTGTCGCCAATAGATAACAAAGGTTGTGACGCCGATCTATCAAAGACGAAATTAATAGCAGATTTCTGTCTTTCTTTACAAGATATATATTACTTATCTTATGTTACATGGTATAACGTTAAAATAGTAGCAAAAAGGTCAAAAATGGTAAAACATGTAAAAAAAAGTCTCAATTTATGACGCCGCCTTGGACTAAGAAACTACACGATTCACATAGGACTCTTAAAAACGGCCTCTATCAACTTTGGGGCAATGAAAGACTTGTTTCTTAAGCTGCAGTTAAGTTTCTTTTTTGGAGGGATTAAATTTATTTAATGCCCATAAATAATTTCTCTCCTATATTTTAAGAAGTTCAGGTACATTTAAACTTAAGGACCTTGCATCCTACGACATCCTTCTCGAAAGCTTTGAATCGAATTGTCAAATGATATCCAAGAATTAAAGCCAACGTACGAAAAAGTCTCCTTTACCCTAGATGCACGAACAGTAACACTTGCACTAAAATAGCGAACGTGTAGCCGTACCCTTCCCCTTCCCCCTCCCCCCCCCCCCGCAAGGTGAAACGGAAGCGAGGGAACCTCCGTTTCACCTTGGGGGAAAGGGTACAGCTACACTTAGGCTAGCACTAAAAGCATTTCTTTAGTGGAAAGGTATATACCTAAAGTAAACGAATCCTGTCTCCTCTTTCTCTTCTTCACCGTTCCATTCCTCTTCTCTTTCGTCTGTGTCGTCTTCTTTATTGTCCTGTCTCCTCTTGTCAAGCACAGAGACAAATTTACTTGGGCCGCCTGCTTGAACAGTTCATGATTAGAAAGTTTCAATCGAGTGTTGAAATATTACCTGTTGTGGTTTTACCATTCCTTACCTTGTTGGTCTGTCTCGCCCATTCTTCCAAGCTGCGCACTGAACCGATCAGCACGTCCCTCTCCTCCTAAATCCGTTTTGGGCCTGTGTTCTACTGATTCGGCCAAAAGCTTTCTTAGATCTGTCATGGACTCGTGTGTTCGGCTCAGAACTCTGTTAGAGGAAAAAAATTACTGATACACATCTGTCACGTCTTGACTGTACTCAGTGGATGGTGATATATGCTGTTAACCCGAGGGAAAAGAAACTCAGACATGTTCCTTGGGTTGAATTGATGTCACGCAAGTCCTCGTCTCCTTCCTGGTGTTGTTCGGTGTTGTCACGCAATATACTCTGACGAGCGTTGCGTGACTGAAGCGACCCTTCCCGTAAAGAAGACTACCAACGGCCTGACCTCATTAAAAATGACAAATTTCAACAATATTTCATCATGCCACATTATTGAACGCGATCTTTTTGTATCATCAGGTAGGGCTCCATGAAGCGTCAAGTGGCCAGCAATAACTTTCTAGTCGCAGTGTTTTAGAAAAAAAGGCGACGAAGCCTGGATAGTATTGTATGCGAAAGGTTACCTCACAGTTACTTAACCCTTTCACTCCCATTATCTCATTAGTAATTCTCCTTACTGTCCGCCACACAATGCTTACGATGCTAGTTCCGAGTGGATGGTATTGGATCAAGTACCAATCCCATAATTGATACTTTTGTTTATTCCTATCACTTGTCTGCTTGATATTGTATTGATATTGTATTGGTATTGTATTGATATTGTATTGATATTGTATTGATATTGTATTGATATCGTATTGATATCGTATTGATATTGTATTGATACTGTATTGATATTGTATTGATATTGTATTGATATTGTATTGATATTGTATTGATATTGTATTGATATTGTATTGATTACGTCCATTAATATTACAGCTAGCCACATGTCTGTGAAAGACAAATTGTTTTTACAAATTGGCGACTTTCGCTGTAAATTCAGTCGCCAAAAAACTTTTTTCTACTCGCAATAGCGACCAAAAGGGCCGCAGCTTGGAGCCCAGCAAGGAGATTCATGTCCATTTAGGAACCACTCTGGAAGAGGTGGGGGAGAGGGGAGGATTTTCGGGGGGATCTCATGGTATCCAGGGGGGAACGGAAGGGGAATCAATCGTCTCCAACAGAGTATAAAGGGAGACTATGGAAAACTGACGGCCAATTAACTGGCAGTGGGGGAGGGGAATCATTAGGTAAATTTTATCAGGACGCAACCAAAACCCTTCCCACCCCAGGCAATAAATAATGACTGCTCCCTTACTCAAAAATAAAACTATCACGACCTGCACAGGTCTCACTGATCTACTGGCTTGCACCTTATTAGAAAATCACGTGCTCAACAAACCCGTTTCAGTATCTGTGTTTTTTAATAACTCATTTAGCTCATCTCATCTTCCTCAAAAAGCCAAATCAGGCCAAAAAAAAAAAAAGATTTATTTCTACATAGCCTGAAGATGGATTCTCAGCGGGAAAAAGGCAAAGCAAAGCCAGACCTGCCCCCCTCTCTCTTAAAGGCCCCCAAAGATCCACCCACAAGGGTCGGAAGGGAGGGACATTAATATTCTAGGTACCTGTATCTTATGCCATCTGCTTCCATTTCAGCTTCAGTTTCATTGTTGTCTTCACTGTCCATGCCTGTGGCAGTGCGGACGTCAGCACCAAGGCTCTCCTGCAGTAAAGCTGCCCCCTGATACTCTGGGTACAGCTGTGACTTGATGGTGGCAGGCGCCAGGTTCATTTTAGGTGGAGCTGGTGTCCAGTAGAGTCTATACACATAATGCGCACAGTTGTTAACCCTTTTCACCCTAACATCAGTTTTAATATTTTCCATACTGTTCTCTATACATTTCCTAAGGTGCTGACAAGGAGAATTTGTTTAACAATCAAGGGTTTCTTTAGTTGGTGATTATTTCTATTGTTCTTGTGACCTTAATGGGTGATACAGGGATGATGTTGTATGGAAAGTTACATGCTACATGTAGTTATGCTCAGGAGTCAAAGGGTTAAGAAGTAAATTGAAATTTCATGACACTCCATGAACCAGCACTTAGGGTGTGATGAACTTTTCAAAACTCATTAGAAGCCCCAGCAGTTTCAAGACAGTGGTAAAATACATGTGCCTTAAAGTACAAGTGAAGGAAAAAGCCTCATTAAACCTGCTAAATATTAGATTTTTTTACAACAGTGTTTAGAGAAAAATGCCAAAATTCAAAATTAATCTGAGATGTTTGAAATTCTCTGTATCTTAAATTCAAGCACAATCAAGGAAAAACAATTTGACCAAATACTTTAACCCTTTAACACCCAGAAGCGATTAACATCTCCCTGCAATATCCATACATCATCCAGCAAGCGAATACAGGACATTTCGCACAAAAGACTTTTCGCACAAGTCTTTTAGCACAAGTTTTGGACCGTTCGCACAATTCTTAGTGGTCATTTCGCACAATAATCATAAGTGAGAAACATCAATATAAAAGGTATACTGATTGATACTGATAAGACATTTCACCATCACATGATCCAGCTGCAAAAACGTAGACATTTATTTACGTAATAACTTCAACTAGACCGTGCGAATGGTCCAAAACTTGTGCTAAAAAACTTGTGTGAAGAGTCTTTTGTGCGAAATGACCAGTTACCCAGCAAACAGGTAATGAGAATACTCAAACATAACAAATAGAAGTTGTTGTCTTGATCTAAAACCAAATTCTTGTAACTTATTTAAAAGGAAATATGTAGTAGCAGGAGGGGAGAATTGACTATCAGATCTGGGAGTTAAAGGGTTAACAATGAGATGATTTTTCAAAGGTCCTATGACATGAGTATTTTTAGAGGAAAATGAAAAATATCTACAAACCGTTAACAAAAGCAGGATTTTTTAAATAGAGCTGAAATTCCCCAAAACTCAAATTGCTGTGAACAACCAAGTATAACACGAGGGATTTCACATCTATTGAAATTTAGATTATGTGACAAAACAAACAAATTTATATTAAAGAAACTTGCTCAGTACAGTCTACATACTTGGAAGTAAAATTTGTGTAAACGCTGTAAAACGTAATAAAGTTAACATAATTCAAATTACCTGGAGCTATCATCTTTCAGTTCTATTTTAACACCAACAATGTCAAGTGATTGCTCTTGTTCAACTGAGAACTGTAAAAAAAAGAGAACAGATAATGCTGAATTCAATATAATTTTTTTAGCAGAAAATATAAGTTAGGATATTCACAGAACCCAACAAGGATCACCAGAGAAAATGATGCACAAATACATGTTAGAAGGCCAAGAGTGTAGCACCAATACACAAGTAAAATGTGAATCATAAATGAAGTTCAAATGGACAACAGTGTGCAAACAGATATAACGTTTAGATCATTCTCAGTCTTGTCCTTCAAAACCTATTTGTAAAAGTTTCTGATGAATTTCCATCATCACTTAGTTTTACATGTACACTGTTCATCAGTTAGGCCGAGGAATGTGTTTTACTACTTTTACATGTAAGTGCACAATTAACATATAGATTCCATGTTGTCATGCATATGTTCGGTAGATCTTGTAGATCACAGAAGACATCAAAATGTGGTAAGGAAAAATAAAGTGGCTCACAAGTCGCAACTGAGTAGGCCACTAATGCACCTAACATATTTTGACATCTTCAGTGATCTACTATTCTACAGACCAATGGCTACAGTCAATATCTGTTTTTTTTTTCTATGATAAAAAAGCTTATGGTTACATCATCTTTGTGTCTGTCCACCAATACATGTAGATCATATGTAAGAAGCAATCAAAATGTGTGAACAATTCAGCTTATCATATCATGGAGGAGGAGTTTGTGCCTGCTAAAATACATTTAATTGAGCCATATTACAACTGTCTTGTAACTTTCAACCCAGCATAACTCAAGCCCTCAGTAGCTGTGTACATAACAGTGTAACCTCTTAGATCACTAGGAATCCAAGATGAGCAGTCACAACTCACCAAATCATCTGAAGCTCTCTTCAACCTATTGAAAGTCTCCTCATAATCACCAGCCACCAAAGCTTCATCCAGAATCCTTTGGGCCACAACTGACCATCGTCGCTGCTGAACAGCTCTACTTGGTTTCTCTGGCTCTTTTTCATCTCCAGTTTCCTCTTCCACAGTTTCAGCTAAATCAGTTTCTTCCTGTAAAACCTGTTTTGATAATAATCTTGACATTAGTATTAATTATCCTAGTAGTCTAAGAGTAAATTTGTATTACCTGTTCAGAGTTTGACACTAAATGCTATATTGTAATTCGAAGAACAATTAAAAACAGTTGTGAACAACAACTAATGCTGCAAAGGGCAACAATTTTTGTTGCATGGTGGTGACTGCAAAGTAACGATGAACAGCAAAAAAGCAAACATATTCAGAAGCACTACACGCATGTGTGCAAATCCATGACCTTTTGGCTCCACAGAATGTTCTTGGCTAAAAAACCACTTGTTTTGAACATTTTAGTATATTCCAACATGGTTTAAAATTCTCATGAGTCACAACATGTTTGGATACAAACATGTAGTGACTCAAGTATTCACAACTGTTCTTACATGTAATTGTTCTTCTCATTATTATTCCGTGACAAACTCTGCATACAACAAGCAAGTTATACAAATTTTACAGATCAATATCAGTATCTGGGCAACTGCCCACCTACCTACCCCTCCCTCCCCTCCCCTAACCCAACAAAAGTCAATTGATAACAAGTTAGGGTTAATGTTGGGTTAGAGGAGGGGAGGGGTAGGTGGGCAGTTGCCCAGATACTGATATTGATCCAATTTTACTCTATTAACCTTTTAAACCCTGAGAGTGACCAGTATCTAATTTCTCCTTACAGTAATACAGCTGAGTCATTCATTAAGATCACAAGAGTAAAGGAAATGATCGATTGCCAACTAATTAAAGAAGCTTTGATTGCTAGACAAATTCTCCTTGTCAGTACTGAAGGAAATGTATAGAAAAGAGTATGGAGACCATGGATACTGATGTTAGGGTGTAAAGGGTTAAACCCTTAAACAAGGTAGTACTATCAACTCATGGGTTTCAATAAAATTCAGTTACTGGTGATCTACCACTGCCGGTGAGACCCCTAACTGTTGTCTGTCAGCCTGCGAGCAAGCTCCTGGCTTGGGTTTTGCCTCATGGCGACTTTCTCAGGCATAGCCTCCTGTAACACCATTACTAAGCCACTTATTGCATAAGGTCCAATGAGGCACACCAAACACTGGTTTCCACCCTGGCTTCTCCACCTGCTGTTAGACTATTATAGTTACATTCCTTTTGTTCTCCAAACCTCTCCCATTTGAAGATGATCTACATGTAGACAGCATTTAAAGTCTGTCTTTCATGTATTCATTTGAAAAGGGTTTAAAGGATGGAAGAAAGAAATGTTTGCTACATGTACTTATAAATTGAAGACATAATATTTTCAAAAGAGACAGAGAAAGATGGTAAAAAAAAACCAACTGATTTTGTATCATGATTTATCATTCAAATGCATTTCTTCTATACAATGTAATTTGGGCTTTACTTGGTGCCAACTACAATGTATTGTAGGAAATCTTAATAAAAAAAGGCCGAGATAAGCATTAAGTGAGATTACTTTATTATAGGTAATTTAGTGTTAACAACTGGGTTGAAAACGTAAATTAGCAGTACAGTACAGTACATCGCTCTGACAAAGGGCTAACGCTCGAAACGTCAGCTTTTTTACCCTTTACGGTGGCTAATTTACGTTTTCAACCCAGTTGTTAACACTAAATTACCTGCTATACTCTCCCACCGATGCAGCACCACAGTTTCTTTAGAAACTTACCCCTTTATTACTTTATTATAGACAGGTTAGTCTTGGGGGAAACCCAAACATTCTAATTGATTATTACTTGGACTGGATTTTGCTATATGGATGTGGAAATGGTCATAAGCCATGTATTTTTGTTCTCAAAATCCAGAAAATTTCAAATAAACAAGTTTAGTCTAAGTGCTATATAATTATAATCTGGTTATTAGCCTCACTTGCTTAAGCCATATTGAGAAATATTGGCCCTTATTATTGTACTGCCACAACCTCAGGCCAATCTTTCCCACTGCAGTCCTTTCTGTTAATCTTACCTCCATCGTCTTCTCTGTCAGTTTACGATATTTATTGCTTGTATGTTTATCTCTTGTCAATCTACATAGATGAGGAGGTAGTTCCACTCTGGATGGCATGGTACAGAAATGGTGGATGTTGTGAGTCTTGACAGGCTAAAAAATTAAAAAATCAACAAATTATGCTCAACATTGGTGATTACAATTTGAATTTGAATTTTCTTTCAGGCAAATAGTACAAGTTAGTTACAAGACAGTGTATACTGTAGCTTGTATATACTTAGAGAAAATGAGGACAAAAGTCTCTTCAAACTGACCAGCATATCATCAAAATTTCCAAACTGAGTTCATAAAGAGGTTGAGCACCAACATGTTTTATGTATGTATGACAACTGGGAGACAATGACACTGATTTTAGGGTTGTCTGGCATGGATTAGCATCCCATCTCAGGTGAAGAGCAAATTAAAATCTTTCATTAATTGTTCTATAACTACTTCATAAACTGGAATACCATATTATTTCCTTGAATAAGTACCCATGCCCTTGGCCACAATGTCGAACAAGTGCCCCCACCCCTCAAATAAGCATCCCACCCCCTCCTCCCTCACTTTAAATGGTAGAGTTACAAGGAAAACTTGTTTCTATTGCCATTTTGAACAAAATCAGTACAGGAAAATATCAAGTCCTCCACTTGATTGAGTTACCCTCACTCCTTCCAATAAGCACCCATCCTTTAATAGCTGCAATATTTTAAATCAGCACTGGGGCCCCTATTTGAGGAAATATGGAAAGCTCTGAACTATTTCAAGGGTCACCCAGCTATGTACCACTGTATATTTGCCTTTAAACTTTCACCCTTAAACCCATTTACATGTACGTATGGCATTAGTATTCATTGCGAGTTTAACTGAAAATATCTCAGTCTGTTTTTCAAAGGAGAGGGAACACAACTTTTTCTCGGCTGGACATTGTTCCTATTATTCTTCACTCTTAAACAATGTCGGTCAGTTTTTAAAAATGGACTTGCATGAATCAATATTCTTACACTTGAAACTACTTTTGGCCATGAAGAACCAAACAGAGAAAAGGATTAATGTGCACATTGTACATTTACCTTTTGGTCATTTTCTTTTTCTTTCTTTTCCTTCACTTCCCACGAATCCAAAAACATCACAGTTTTGTCTTGTTTAAGATCAATCCACTGTTTCTCTGAATCTGGAGCAGTTTCCAGGGCAGGAGACTGTTTAGACACCATTTCAAACTGTTGACCTTTAATGCTGATGATGTCTTCTGGAACCACTTCAGAAGGAAGTAATAGGCACTGGACAAAATGAAATTAAATTAAAATAGTAAAAAATTTAAGCAACTAAAGGGTTCTCTAAAAAAATTACTGACATAATTCACTCTATTCCCATGACAATCTGTTTCAATAACGTACATGAAATCATCAGTTAAAGAATTGAAAATCAAAGAATAGCATGGGCAAGATTCATGCCTCCTTGTTAAGACTTGGTAAGTATACAACTAACTGTGATCATGATAAATGTACTTATCCCAAAAGCCACACCAGTTACCTCCATGGCCTGTTCTGTTGTCATAGTTTTCTGACTGGCAAGTCCTTGTCTTGTCAAAGGTGTGAGAGATGTAGAACCTGAAAGAGCAAGAAGGGAAGGCAGATCTATTCATAACATTGTCACAGACCATAAAGAAATTCACATCCAGTAACTACAAGTATATTATCAAAGCCCACAGCTACATATCTACATACAGTACCACTGCTATCTATGGTACTACAAAACTACCTGATACATCCATCTCAGTCACTCCACTCCTCCTTGTTACTGTTCCTTTACTAGCAGTCTGCGGCAGTTCTGCTTCTTGTGGTTTGGCGTTAATTTCAGCAGGAGCACTCATCTCACTGTTCATTGCCATTCCCCTGTCTTTCTTTGGGCTTGTACTTGAGCTTTCCTTCTCTTCCACTGAGACCCTGGCTCTGTTTGTTTCATCACTCTGCAACTTAGTTTTAACAGCAGGGACAGGTGGTTTTGGCATCATAGGACTGGTAGATGTCAACTGCTTTGGATCACGAGGAGACAAGCCTCGCAGAGCTCCCTGGATTGAGAAGCCAGTGCCTCCACGCTCAGCCATTGCTCGCAGTAACAAGCTTTCTCTGGCTGGAGAAGCTGCAGAAGCCATCTCCTGTAGCCTTTTTGCTTCATTTTCTGCTTCTTCAGTAGCTCTGATTAAGTTCAGTAAACCTACCTCTGGTTGACTGATTCTCCTTGTCAGCTCAAGAATCTCTGAGTGGATCCTATTAATTGGTGAATCTTCCTCAGAGTCAACAGCCATTTTCCCACTGGCTAGTGCTGGAGCAGAAATTGAGGATTTTAAGACTTCAGAAGTGATAAAATGTTTTTCAGCTTTTTCATTCTCATCCTGTTCAGCATTTTCAACCAAATCAAAAGCAACTTGCACAGTTCTGGTTTCATCTTTCACATCAGCTTCTTGGTCATGTGTATCACCAGATGCATCTTCTGACCTTGTATGGACCTTCACCTCTTTTGGCCTGTCATCCTTACCTGAATTGGCCTCAGTTACAAGAGCTGAGTCAGCCTCACCCTCATCTTCATCCCCAGTAGGTGACCCTGCCTTCAAAATTTCCTTGTCCCTGATTAAATGTAAACACAGATGTATCAATTGAAGCAAAAAAAAGTGAAGCCTTTATACAGGCCCAAGTGGCCTATGGGGCTGGCACTTAGCTCCGGTTTCCTTAGCATGAAGCAGCTAGGAGTATTGCTACTCCCCCTGGATGGGATGCTAGTCCATTGCAGGATTACCCCCAGGATATTTGCTGGTACCCATTTGTACACCTGGGTGAAGAGAAGCACTGTGAGAGTGAAGTGTCTTGCCTAAGAACACAACGACCCTGGCCAGGGCTTGAACCTGGACCACTCAATCTGGAGTCAAGCGCACTAACCATGAGGTCAGCGCACCTCCACAATTGAAGCAAAGATGTACCTTAATTTGCTTTTGCCCCTTTTACCCCTGAAAGTGACTAGCATCTAATTTCTCCTTACAATATCACCACTGAATCACACATTAATGTCATGAGAATAAAGGAAATGATTACCAACTAAATTTTGTGTGTGATTTTTGTTTAAATCAACTAAGATGGTTCAGATGTTTTTATTTCTGCATGGTAGTTTGTTAAAAAAAAAATTACTTATGCAAAAAGTTTTCAATTTCCTAGTAAGGATTACATGTACGTGTACTGTAGGTATCTCTTTGACTGCTTCAGAGCTAACAGAAAAAAAAATTACTTTCACACCTGATGTGGGAAAAGATTAACAAAGAATGCTACAAGGGGAGTTGATTTGTTGATGGCTCACACAGGGTTTAATTCATTGAGAAGCATAACTCATTTTCCTTTATTTTTTAATTGAATTAATAATAATAATTGAACTGAGTGGAGTGAGATTTTAGCTGAAATCATACACATGATTTCAAAATTGAACAAGTGCGCAGCATGAGTTCGATTTGGAATCACAATTATGATTTCAGATCAAAATTGCACAACATGAGGTTCCATTACCACTTTATTACATTCATTTTGAAATTATCCAAATACAAGACTTGGTCAGTTCAAATATTCTATTGATGCAGCACTGAGCCAGTTTGAAATTAAATTAATCCATTTCTGGAGGGAAAAAGTAAGAGTTTGGGAAACAAAAGTTGCAAAATTTGCCACATGATACTCTTTGTCTTTCATTTTCCTGCAATTTGATTGGTTACTTTAAACAAGCCTTGAGATCAGATCAGTTGTTTTGTTTTTAGTGTAACCTTCTCATTGGCTTTACAGGGACCACTAGTGTACACTAGTACAATTGTACTTGCTATTAACTTCTGAACTCGCCAATCAGCGTGCACCAAAAGTGCTATTCACCTGTTTATTGTAATTACACTTAAAGCTAATGCTGATAGTCTTAATTGCTCTGACGAAAAGCTGACGCCTGAAATGTCAGCTTTTTTACCCTTTACGATGGCCAATTTGCATTTTTAACACAGTTGTTAACACTAAATTACTGGCTATACTCTCCCACCAATGCAGCAACACAGTTTCCTAAGAAACTTATCCCCTTTATTCATTTGTCTTAAAAGACTGTTGACCAGCCTAACAAGTTTCAACCTACCTGGCGGATGAAGCACCACTTCTCACTGATCCTTGCTGTGATGCCCTGGAGGTTGTCCGTTGTTTCTGTGCTGGGCGTGGTGTAAGCTGGACTGCTACTGTAGTGCTTTGAGAGCCTATTATTGCTGGTTTCTTGGTTTGAATGTTCCTGTGTTGAGCCTGAGGTGCAGGACTTCTAGGACTTCTGGATCTAGCTGATTGTGGTTTTTTCACTGATTTCTGAAAAAAGGTTAAGTCCACACTTGTAATATTGCCCCCTGCTTGTTACAGTATCATGAAATGATTGCAAAAAGATATGGCTAGGTTGTGAAATTAGCTTCGACAGAAACATTTATTATAATTATGAGTATGGGATTTATACAATTATGTTCATATTTTCATGAGCAATGACAGTTCAGACATGAAATTTGAATCATTTTTAATTCAATCTGAAATTTTGAATTGATTAATATGCTGCATTTGCTTCATTCAAGATTGGTCTTGTGAACTAATTGGCTGGTGAATTGGGCCTACGAAACCCTTAAACTGCCATGTATGACCAAAACATAATCTCCTCACACTATCAATGCAATATCAACCAGACAATGATGAGACTACCTAAAATATAAATAAGGGGATTATCAGTTTACCTAAAACCAAATTCTCCACACAAACATGATAATAATTGCATGGAAATAGTAAGGAGAATTACTGACGAGATCTTGTGAGTAAAACGATTGAATTTAACTTAGTATACACATGCAGCTATTTTCACGTTACCTTTTCCCTTGTTTTTATCACTGCACTAGTCTCTTCTTGAAGTCCCCTTCCATACATTACAACATTCAAGTCGACTTTCGATCGGATAGAAGCTACACCAGTAGATCGGGAGAACAAATCAGAACTCCTCAAATCAGCACCAAAGCAGTCCACTCCAGCAACAGCCTTTGCATGTATCTCCGAGTCTGGCGTTGATCTCAGCTCTGGAGCTAAATCAATTGAAGGACTTGGTGGAGGAACCTCACCATCTGATTCGTTGTTTTCTATACCTGTCACTTTTTGCTTGCTTTTCGCGGGACGACTCCGTTTTATTGGTTGGTTTTTAAGCGCCAAAGCAGTTTTCAAACTGCTCTCAAGAAATTTGGACTTGTCGTTCGGATTCAAGCCTGAGAATTCATTCTTGGATTGTTTTGTTAGCTTCTGAAGCTCTAGTTTCATACGAAGCTCTTCCCTCTTGAACGACTTTCCACCAAATGACATTTCGTTTCAAGTAACTTACTGATGGTCAACTGAATACCTCGAGTCCGTCTTTGATTCCTCCATCCCACCCTTTCACGTTAAACAAAAGAAAAACAACCAGCTGTAGTTCAAAACTACCAGTTCAACTTTCCATGATCCAACTTTCTGCAATTCGGCTTCAAAGAAAGAGCAACCATCATATGGCAAGTTAAGTCGGGAGAGAAAACACAGACGCCATCTTTGTTTGGGTCTGTTACCTTGGACCCAGTTCTTCACGCACAAAAAGGGGACGACATAGCTACTCCAGGGGAGCAGAGTAAGTAGGCCTTTTGGACGTGTTCCTGGATTTCTCGGAAATGCTGATATCGAAAGTAATCTTTCCAGTCTGAGTTCCTTTCTTTCTCGGAAAAATCTGAAGGGATGTCAAAGGTCAGCTCATTTCAATTGTGCAACTATGCAAAGAAGCGTCATCGGCAAAGAATTTGACAAAAGACGCGCTAGAAGCAATTTTCGCTATTTTAGAGTGATGAACGAGTGATTAAAGACTTCAAGCTTCTTGCAAATGGCGGTAAGTTAATATCAAATTCGTTAGCATTATTGACGTATTTCTAGTGAAATGATCTATTCTCTTAGGTCTTAATTATGTACGTACACATCAAGTTTTACTTTCCTTGAATTTAATTTCCCACCATGACAAATAAGCAATTTTGCGATTCAGGTTATCTGTAATGTAATGTTTACCATAAAGTCAGTGGGATAACCAACTCAATTGATGCTACATAACAGGACAAGATACTTGATTTATATCTTCTTTTTTATCATTTCTTTTAAATTGACAGAGGAAAAAGTCACACCGAAAATATTCTCAGTATCACTATGTAAATCTGATTTGCAACTTCATCAGATCTAAAGCGGTCTAAAAAGACAACACATCTTCATTAAAATCCTTTAGAACTTTATATTCCTCAACAAAAATATTTTCATTTACCGAAATGAGCAGCATTTTTGACAAGCTCGTAAAAAAACGGTTTAAAGCTACGAAGACTCCAAATTAAAACAACTAATGACTCATTTGTGTATTTTAAACTTTTTCCTGTCTTGGTCGCATACCTTGAAAATTTTACAGTTACTATGTGGTGACTGTCTATGTTGAAATTGAATGGTGAAAACGTTTTCGATTTTATCTGTGTCGCCGTTCAAAACATTACTCTGTAATATTCAGTCCTAAAAACTATTTTTTTCAAGTCTACATTTATGTTTTATGTGTTTCTCCGCGTACAGTTTACTGTCAACAATCTATGACGTCAAATGGTAATAGAACACAAGCTTCCTCCAAAAGAAAACAGACTCAAAAACGGAAGTTTTCAAGCGCCGATTTTAACTTGTATGATAAACAGAGATTATGTTAATGAATCAAGGAAATTATTCAAACAAGCGCTGTAGGTTATTTGGTAACTTGGATTCTGCATTTGTCACATTATAAAACATAGAGTATGTTGGTGTTCGTAATGCTGCCACACCCTAAAAAAAATATTTTTACGTCTGGATTGAAACCGGCCATAACAGATGAAACAAATGCACCGTCAACAACAACATAATACGTATTCACTGTTCGAATGACCGCTGATGACTAGGATAGACACGACTATGAATGGAATGTCTGACGATCAAGCTGAATGGATAAGTAAGAAAAACCAACATAGATTGGAATATCGCTAATTTTCCAAATTTATTTCCTTTGGCCAAAAATAGAACGAATTAAAAAAATTACTGATGTCAAGATCTGTGAATGGTTTATATACCACTTGGCTTTTTCGAAACCTTTTAACTGAAGAAATCTCTATCCAACTTTCATGCCGTGCCCTCTAAAACTTCTCACCCCCTCTGAAAATGGCCCCTCCCTTAAAAATATCACAAACTAAACGGGCAAACGTAAGTCTCAGATATTGATCAGTGTATTTAAAGTGACGAGAATTTGATTCTCTATCAAAGTAGGAACCGGGATGTCAACTGTTTCGTTCCGTTTTATTTCAACATAAGCGATCATTTCAAGGAGAAATTAGAATTTGATCTGTTGTTGAACCGTTCAACTTTGAACTTGGGCCAATTAGCATCTAGCTAGTCTCGTGATCCTCACGTCGTCTGTCGATAGATAGTCACCCCCTCTGCATCTTGTGGACGAATATGTTTGCACGATCGGGCAGGTCTATGTAGTGGACCGATCAGTCGGTTAATGAGCCAGAGGAAGCCGTAGTTAGGTTAAAATGCGGCGACGTATCCTTTACCCATTCAAGGTAAGTTAGTGCATACTTCAATGGCGACGGATCCGGCCACTGATTAGTAAGAAATGATTTGCTTAGTTCGGCTACGACGACCGAAGCAAGCGCTCCCGCTTCACTTTCAAAAGTTTCATGTGTTCGTCAAGATGGCTGACATCTCGTTGAGAATTCTGCAAAGCAATTAAGGAGCAATAAGTTGATTTTTTTAGTTTCCATGAAATCGAGTTAAATAACGAGAGTAAACAAACCATGTTCCCCGAAATACAAATCATTAAAACGCTTCTCGGGTTGTTGTTCAAAACATCCGGCTTTCCTGCAAACCAAGGTTATTTCAACTACATCTTTCTAAAATGAAACAACACAGTGAAGCAAAAGATGTAGGCCTTCGTAACTCTCAGAGGAAGAGTGATGAATGAGGAGTAAAGTAATCAATTTACCAATTTGCACCGACTGAACGGAAATCCATTTACTGCCCGCCAACGTTTGTTCTACACTGTGTTTGTCAAATGTTATTTAACTAAACAGGGATTACTCTAGCATTCAAAACTTACGGTTACCCCATCATTATAACTACATGTAACCAAAATATAACTTCAAGAGGGTCCATGAATACTATAAAAATAAAACGTGATACATCGTTGTTGTCATTTCGAATATCTTTCCAGTCGGGAGCGTTTCACCCCAAATAAGTTACACAGCTATTACGGCGTTTTCTCCAGAACCATCGCTACCATTTTCGTAACTAAAATGACGAAATAAATTCGTTAGAGGGAAGATCGTCGATGACAGTTAAAATTGGTTTCAGTGAAGCAATAACGGTAGGTTAGCGGTGTTTTTTTTAACAAGAAACATCACTGCCACATACGTACGTGGACTTGAAACTAAGCTGTAATCGAGCGTGGGAGAAAAGTTGATATTATTAATTACCATTAAGGCGTAGGAGGCTATAAGACAAGTGTTTTTCGATCGTTTAACAACTACGTATAGGAATAATTTTCTTGTATTCCGATGTACTGAAGAGGTATTGCAAGTTCTGCATCAAGACTGTGAACCTCATGCAGTCCTTCATTGGAATTTATAGCCAAACTTCAATATGCTTGCTTGGTCAGTGGAGTTTCAATCAAGCAGCTGAAATGGAAGCTGGAAGCCGGACTCATATTTCTACAATATTTGCCTTTTTGATTGAATATTTTAATTCAAAATTCGAATTTTATGATCGTTGCACGCCAGAAGGCGACCTGTTTATGGTCTCTAGTTTGAATGAGATAACGAAGACACAGAAGAACTTTAAAGGTGAACACTATTCTAAAGCTTTCTTACAAACAATTGTGATTGTTATTTGATTTGCTTATTGCTATCTTCAGGTCTTTCTAAACTCACCTCCCTGAAAATGTGTTTAATGTTTTAAAAAAGTTCTCTCGAGTCCTACGATCCAAAGGGATAGCTTTCCATGCTTGTGCTTGGCCCCTGAAACCCTTAATACATCGGTCGAACCTCAGAGATCGATGATATCTCATTTTATTAAGCTCACAGTTACAAGGTTTCCTGTGTACTTGAGTTGCACGTATCTCCTCAAAATCAGTGATCATTTGGGTGAATTTTTCACTTATTCAGGAAAGGTTAGTATTACAACTTGATGGTTTGTCGATCATTTGGATATTCGTTTGGGGATTTTATCGATCCAAACGATAGCCAGCTAGAGCATGTGCATCTTCGCAATGAGATCCATTCTGCATTGAAAACCTTATTGACTGTTACCTATTAAGAATCGCATGCAAAGTGTTCAATCTTAAACAGGAATTTTTTATGTTTATATTGTTTCTCAACAAGGATATATCTTTTTACGTTATTGTTGAAGCTACATTGAAACTTGTACTTTTAATATATATGTATATATATACATAGATTAAACCGTGGTTGTGTAAACTTGAGTTAAAAGGAGAGCAGTGTGCAGGAGTTTCAGTACAAGCTGGTGACTGTTCATAAGGCCGCCTAGAAGGCTTCTTACCACCCTCTGAATGTGAAGATTTTATTCATTACATTTTTATGGCCCCTTTTCGTGCCACAACGTGCTCACTTTTCCACTATCAGTAGCCATTTAAACCCTGAATAACGTAAATTACTATAGACCTTCAATAATTAAAATGCGATGTATAATCGTCGAGAAATGATCCAGCTGTGCAGAGGAATTGATTTTTTTAGTTCTCATGCTTGTAAGAGTTTTTTTTTAATAAGAAACTGCCGCATTTAAGGATAATTTCCAAGAAGGCATGAAAGGCGTTGATCGAGGCTGCGAATGAATGAGAGGAATTAAGAGATTTCTTCAAGCTATAAACCTGTGCAGTTCCAAGATCTTAGGTTTCGATCCAACAGCAGAACCAGCAGGGGGAAGGGGTCCCCCTTCTACATTCTTTGTATTTAGGCGAATCTTTGCTTCAAAAGACGAGTTTAAACATTTATAGAGATTTGTGTCGGTGGAGTTTTAACCAGGATCAATGAAACAAACATCCTCTGATACTGAACCGAACCTTTCGAGGTACTCAATAAGACAGTTGATTTCTTTACAAATTTCTTTCTTCAATTAAATTCTTCCATTTAATTGCACCTTCTTGTAAGTAATAGACAGCTTTTAACATTCAAAACGGTATTTTAACTAATCCCTTCGACATAATCTGTTTCCTTGCCGTAAACTTGAGTCGCAGGATTTTGACTATCTCGGTCAGTTACTGAAAAGAAGCTCTG